AGGGAGAGGGAAAAGGAGAGAGGGAGAGGGAGAGGGAGAGGGAGAGGGAGAGGAAGAGATGCTAAGGTCAGAGGTTGGTGAAGAGATAGGAAGAGAAAGGGGTAGGCTACCGGAAGCAAGGGCCTCGATCGCCATGATTCCCTCCTTGCTCTGCGGGGAGAAAGTGAGACCACGTTGGAGGACGGAGCATCAAGACCATGGACCCTCCGATGAGAACTCGATCAGGTTGCGTCAGGTCAGCGATCGCCGTCCCCTCCGCAAGGAACTCCGGGTTTGACAACACCTTGAGAAGACTAAGATTGTCTCTCCAACGCCAGCTCGGCTCTACCTGGAAGTGAACCCCAGCAGGGCAGTTCTCTTGGAGCACACATGTCATGGCGTCAGCCGTGCTGACCGGAACCTGCGAGTGGAGCCGAATGAGGATAATGCTCCCCTAGCCCCTGCCCCTGCCCCTGCCCCATGCCTCTGCTCCTGCTCTCCTCCTCCTCGTTTTACAGTGCTCTTCTCGACCACGATCTTGAATCCTTGGAACAAAGCCGAGCCCGGAACTGTCGCCTTGCTAATGGAGCGAGCAGCTCCCTCCCAATAAGTCAAGTCTGACTCGGAAAGTCAACCGGAGAGCACAAGCGTCTGTGCTGCACCTGCTGCCCGTCCCTTGCCGAAGCCATACTCCTTGGTTGGGGTGTTGACAGAAACAAAGATGATCGCCGCATCTCTTACAGCAGCTTCCACATCTGTGCTAAAGAAGAGATTCTTCCCTCGGGTCTGCTTGACGACCTAGAGAGGACAAGTCACACACGCATGGGGTCGTCTCAGTCCTGCTTGCCTCCTCGAGACCAGGTTCGTAAATTGGCAGCCTGTCACTATTCCAAGCATCGATCCTCTGCAAAAGAACAATCAGCCGTTGACTTAGGGAATCAGAGCCTTTGAACCTGCTTGTTAAGATCCACCACAGTCACAGTGAGACCTGTCTTCAACGCCACCTACCACACTCTCTCAGCGACAGACCATTATGAAGACGCTCGTCACCATGGCCATGGTGGGTCCTCCCACGTAACCAGCGCCAATACAGCAGATCTTGCCTGTGTACGGCGGCTGATTCTCTTCCACTGAAATAATCGTCACAGTGCGCTTCATATGCTGTGACGAGGACGTCCTACACCGCAGCCCTCACGACTTGGCTGCGTAGTTCTCTCTCCCCCACCACATGCACACTCCTTGCTTCTCCATCCCTTCCCAATGTATTCCTTATATCCTCCTACAGCTCCTCCTCTCCTACAGCTTCTCCTCTCCTCATCAAGCTCTTGCTCCCAAGCTCCTGCTCCCGTCCCGTCCTCCCTGCATGAACTCACCTTCCCGCATTCTGCTTCACCGCCGGTAGTCTACCTCAGAGGGTTGGTGGACTACCCCTCCGTTTTACCATCAGTACCCCCATTGAGCGCTGTGGGGTGAATAGTTTTGCTGGGGATGCTAGGGGTTGGGTCGGTGGTTAGAGCAGGCAATAGCCGCTAGCTATTAGACCTGGTGTTGCCTTTATTGCGGTGACGTGGCCGGGCCCGGTGAGACCCGGGCCGAGTGCATTGATATTACTCAACACTTCATACTACCCCACGCCCTCCAACAAAGTACAATCTTGGGTAGGTAGTTGGGTAGGTAGTGATGGGAGAGGAGGGGTACTTCTTCGCAGATAGAAACCGGTAGTTGAACATGATGAGGGGTTGGTGATGGTTGAAGTTGGTAGGGTACATCTGTGATCCTTGTGACCAGGGGTAAAGTGGGTAGGGGTACCTGCAAGGATCGGAGGGGTGGGTAGGCTGAGCAAGCCGGGATTTTTTTAAAAATAATGTAGGTAGGGGTAGAGGTACAACCGGTTTGTTTCTATACAGATGTGAGGGTATAGATGAGGTGGGGTAGAAAATCTTCAATATGAGGGGATAAGGTTTTAGAGGGGGTAGGGTGGTAAGGATCGAAAATACGGGGTGGTAATTGAGAAGGAGGGGGTAACCGCATCATACAGGAATTCAGCCCCAGCCGGGTGGGTCATGTTGGGAAAACCATCGATGTGGGGGTATTGTCCAGATACATGGGTGGGTGGTTTAAAATAGGGGTGGGGGTGAAGGAAGGGGTGGTGTCATCATAACCAAGGACAGTAAAGAGCACGGGTGTATAAAAGAGTCAGAGGGGTACTTGATAACGACGGTGGGTGGTTTATCAGGGAGAAGGTTGGGTGGTCGTTGGAGTGTAGGAAAATGCATAGAAGATTGAGAATGGGGGTACAAGTGGTAAACACAGAATCGAGTGGGTGGGTCTACAAAGTACCGGTCTATTCTCATAATAAACCCCCAGAAGAAAAGGGGGTACATAATCGTGGACTAAGAAACTAGATGGGGTACGGTAGTCTAAAGCTTGGTGTCAAGAGGTAGGTAGGGGTGGGGTGGTGGCTCCCCTGCTCGTTTCTTTCGCCTCCGCCATTCGCCGTGGCATGTTAACGACGCATCCCTCGCTTCTCCCTTGTCGCGGCTCCTCCATGGCTTCATCTCTCCTCCTCACATCGCCTCCAACCTACCATCCTAGCTTGACCCCTCTCACTTCCTCTTTCCCGTCTCTCCGACTCGCTGCCGAGGGCTTCTTAACCCTGACTCCATGTTTACACCCAGTGCGCATGCGGCTCTCAGGATGCTTGATGATAGTCTTCTGTTGCTTGTTTCAGTGCTTGTGTGTGTCTTTAGTGACTCAAAATGCGGTTGCCACACACATGGCTCTTGTTCTTTTGCTTCGATGACTTTACTTCGAACTTGAAAGTTGGACGATACATTTACGTCTCCTATCTGTTCCCGATACTGGTAGAGAGCTAAAGGATAGCTTCAAGTGTTGTGCATGATCCCGTCTATTCCTGTTGCCGCATCAAATCTGAGGATCATGTCAGTTTTTGCAACTCGGCTCGTGTTTTATGTTGAGGCTTGTCTTATGTCGATTCGGTCCTCAGTAGTCACTTTGACTTCAGGAACAGTATCCTGCAACGTCGGGTTGAACGGCTCTGAATCAAGGGGGTGTGGTGGATGGCACAACCCCAAAACGTTTCCGCCAAGTCAGTGGAAGTGAAGGTAAGAGGCTTAAGAGTGGTTCCTCATGCCATGGGCGGTCAGGGTGGCAGGCTTGTCTCTTGTTTCTCTGTTTCCCGATCGTTGGGTATCTGATGATTTCCTGTCAGAACAATCTCACGCAGAGACATCCGAACGACTTCATGTCCATCATGCAACAACCTACCTTCCAGCTTCTGAACGGGATTCCTTCGATGTTGAACGGCATTCAGCTCCCAGGTCACAGCCAGAAGGGTTGGCCGCGCTGGGTCCACGTGCTGACAAGTGGCGGCAGGGTTGCAAAATGACATCATCAACTTGTTGAAGCCGCGAGGAAATGCGCAGTTGAGCCCTCAGGAACTCAGGAAAGGTTTCGATTTCTGGACAGAGGAAGAGAACACAAGGTTTGTTAACGCCATCGACTCACAAAAGTTCCCTCCCGATTTCTCGATCTTAGGTGAGTTGACCCTCTGAGCATCCGTCGTCAAGGGATTTGACATCTCTCGCTTCTGTAGCTGCCAAAGTTGGAAACAAAACAGTTGAGCAATGCCAGAGTTACGCGCGATTCTACTTCGAAGCGCTCAAGCATTTCAGAAAACTCCCTCCCGCGCCGGGGAAAGGGAATTTGCACATCAAAGCAGCCGATGTATACAACTTCCTTGGCATTGGAATGGCCTACAAAGAATTTCTATCTACTCAGAACTCGAGCTCTCCTCTCAAGACGCTCACGACCAGTTTTGTGCCAAGCACACCATCGCTTTCAAGCTTCACAGACGGCTTTTCAATATCCAAGCCAAGTAAGACTCCTTCTTCTTAACCTGAAATACTTCGGGATGATTCTTTCCACGCAGAGGTTGAACAAGAGACTCAAAGCAGCAGCAAGGGATCCATCGACTTCCTTTGTAGCAGTTCAGACGTGCCTTGTGAACCTTTGAGCATGTCAAATGTCTATCAAGGTCCCACATCCATACCTTCTATGTCCGACCCAAACTCCAGAAATGTCAAACCGGGAGCAAACAAGAATATGATGAGGTCTGGAATTTGTCACAAAGTCATTACAAGTTGACTTTTCCCGCAGTCCCAAAAATGATGTATGGACTTGGCCGGCGTCAACGACACCTCAAGCATCCAACAGAGGAGCGAAACCTTACAATGGAAACCATCTCCCTGCCCTCTCATCGTCGCAAATGCAGCCCTCATCAGACGAATACACCATCAAGAAGGAGGAGGGGGTCTCGAATTCGAGCACTGACGGTTCACACTTGATCCCTTTCCCTGGTTGTGACCTAACGTGCTGCTCCTTCTCAGCTATGGGCCAGCATGACTTCAACGAGGCCGATGCAGACGCACGGGCTATGGCAGAGGATAGGAAGGAAATTCTGGACAACGGGGACTCAACCTGGCCCTCCTCAGAGGCAGGCCTCATGGATGACGATGCTTCCAAGCCAATGGCGATAAAAAGGAGGCGGCCGGAGTCTCCAACCAGAGAGAAGGTGCCAACAGACCACCAGTCCTCCTGTCAGAGCTGTGCTGAGACCGATGGTGATGCGCAGGAAAGAGAGATCGACAAGAATCGCATCAACAAACGAGACATGTGGACTTACGCCTGCATGCAGCAAGCCCCTGCTACTAAGGTCTGTCCCTTCCTAGTCACGAGCTGCTGCTGAAGCTTGCACTCAATAGGAAGAGAAAGAGGCTCAAGAAAAAGAAGAGAACATCCTGGACGTCAAGAATCCCTGGGATTGGACCAGGAAACTGATCATCAAGAGCAGCGGCTATTCAAACTGGTGCTACTCCTTTTGACTGTGAGGAGAGTAGAGTGTCAGGTCACGGTCGCTCGTGGCAGGTGGCCGCACTTCATCGAGTACGTTATCCTCTCCAAGAGAGAAGTGGGCGATGACATCCGAACGATCCGGGACAAGGCTCCTCCTCCTCCTGAGTCGAAGTCTGAAAGGTCCGTTCGCTCCTCTCCTTCCCTATCTGATTGAGTCGTCAGACGCGGTGATGACCGGGAGACAAAGAGACCCAGGAAGGATGCTCCTGTGCACGGTAACGTCATGGCGTCGGTGGAGCGCAGCTGATGGTCGTCATGGCAGAGTGGGTGTACAACGGATGCATGGTGGAGGTGAAGTGGGAAGGAGACTGGTGGCACGCAAAAGTGAAGAAGGTGAGAGTGGGGAATCCCCTGCCGGCTGCCGCTGATCCCCTGGCTCAGATGAAACCACCAAAAGGCGGCGAGGGGCTGGAGAAGCTGTACGTGACGTATGTCGGTGGCACAGAGGACGAGGACGAGTGGGTTCCCATCTCCAAGGTAGGGACGTGACTCGACGATGCTGCTGTGACTTGTGCTCGAACAGGTGAGAGCGCCAAGGGAAGATGTTGACGAGAAGCTTCTCAAGGTGACGCTGATGCCCCCCAAACCTTATTGCCTGCTCTCTCACTGTGCGCTAGAACAAACGTCGATCCAGTGGGAACAGCAGGAGGAAATGAGGGGCTTTGCTGTAAACTGTTGGGGACGACGCTTGGAATCACGATTAACGACACGCACCGAGGCTACTTTGATGTAACGTATGATATGAATGTTTGTCTTGAGGCGAACGATCCGGCTCATAGTGATCACTGACTGATGATGAGTCACTCGGAGTCTGATTGTTCGATCCTTCAGTCTTACCCTCGCCTGTATTTGAATGAAACGCTTGAAACTTTACCCGGTACTGGCACCGTAAGGCCCGCGCGGCCGGCCGGGCTGCCGCAGTGATGCAGCACTGATGCGGCCGGCGGTACGGAGTCGCTCTCCGAGCCGCTGAGCCTCAGCCTGTCTCCCAGGCTCCGAGTCGGCCCGGACTCCGGCGGTGTGACAGTCAACTTGACTTGAAGCCTGCAAGTTGACCCGGTGACCGACTCAGTGAGTCGCCGCGACTCAGTCATGTCGGTTAGCCGCCCAGGCTAACTTAACTGGCCGCTGCGGCCCGCCGAATCATTGACCGCTGAGTCCGGCGGCCCGGCGGGTACTCCGAGTACGGCGTACGGTACTACCAACTCCCTTCGAGTCTCGCCGGTTGACGGAGGCTTTCAACGTCGCTCGCGGGAACTCCTTAAATCATGTTAACTTTTGATGCCAAATGTTCAAATGTGTGTGTTATTTAATTTGAAATTATAACCAGTAAGAATTGAAAATCTCTCCAAATCAAAAATTTTGGCCGTAAAAAGGCCAGCACCTTTGTCTGAGAGGACCCCCTTCAACCACTGATATCTTGGCGAAAGCGCGGGGGTAGGTGGGGGTTTTGGTGGGACTGCTTTTATGTGGCTGAAGAGGGGGGTAGGGTAAAGGCTGAGTAGGAGGTTGGTAGGGGTTCACTACCCCCCTTAGACTAAGTGGCACATATAAGGAGATAGGGGTGGGTAATTGGCACCCAAATTGTGTCGAGTTGTGTGGTAGGGGTGGTCATGTACCCGCCAGGTGGGGTGGCTATCTGGTATATTATAGAGGGTCTGCCTGTGGGGGATAGGGGGGTGGGGGTTATGACTGAGTAGGTGATACAAAGAAGGTACGTAGAATAGAGGGCTTGCAGGGGTACTTTTCTGGTAGAAGGAAGGGGTAGGTGAACAGAGCAGGAGGAGGGGAGACAAATGGTGGGGTAGAAGAAGGGAGATAAGGGGGGTGGGGGCTGCGGGAAAGAGGAGCTCTTTGGAGATGGCGACAATCGAGATTCAGGGATGGGAAAGAGGAGGAAGGGAGGGAAGAAGGGGCGCAGGAGAGGTAATAAGGAAGCAGATGAAATGAAAGATATGGCGAATCGGGAAGCGAAAGGAAGAGCTTATCTGAGCTGAGACTAGTTTCTTGAAGCAGGGAACGAAGAGGTTAGGAACAAAGAATGTGTGTTTCAAGACCGAAGGAATGAGACATATATATCTTGAGTGAGAGGAAACTTGAGAAATTGTGGGTGTTTGATCATGGGGGTTTAGCACTTTGATCTATACCCACATGAAAGATAATTTTCACTATGAGGAGAAAGCAAGGGGATCGAAGAATTGAACACCTCAAACCATGTTGTGATGGAAGGAAGTTTGTCTATCATGAAGTAGTTTAGAAAAGATTTCAGATCACACCAGGACAGATGAGCATGTGAAAAGAAAATAGGTGTGAGTATGCAGGATCAAGAGAGATGGGATGGGAAAGAAGGGCGAGGGTGAGCCATACAAATTTAGGCAACATGGGGGTAAAGAGAAGATGAAAGTGATGCGTGTGCCTTGTCTGAATAATTTTGCTTGAACAGGAACAAGAAGCTCAAATCGATTAGAAGCCGTCTTCGAAGTGTTTTAGATCCTTTGATAGGTGGCTATTTATTGGAGGAGCCAGTGATCTCGTGAAAGTTGTGGGTTCTCAAGTTTGAAAGGTGGGAGATCAGAAGAATCGAACGTCAAGGATCAGGTGCGTACGAGTCGGTGTGTCCTGGTGTCTTATATTTCCTAGCCGAGGTTAATTCATGCTCGAGAGCCTATAAGATGTCCGTGAACGTGGAGGACACTCAAGACCCCATCAGTGGGGACAAGCGGCAGGCCATGGAGCGAGGCGAAGGAAATCAGGAGAAGAAGGCACGAGTTGATCAGATTGACGAGATCGCATGTGTTGCAGAGGAGGACGACTATCAGCCAACCATTTCCAAATCCAGTGAGGTGCCGAATATCAACCATTTGAAACCAACGAAGCTGCCGCTCTTCCAAAGAACTCCTACCTAAAATTGCTCGTGGTCTCTCACTTAAACTATTCATCATCTATGACTTGAGCTGAATGAACGTCATAAATTCGAAAGAAACCTACTGCAAACGCAGGGTTGCTTTGTGACAAGATAGTTCTCTGCACCGCTGTGTTAATTAGAAGGTTGGTGTAAAGTAGACATGGCGATTTGCAAAGCTCTGAAAAGATATTTCAACATTCATTGGATTTCATCAAATGCTACGATGAAATTCATTCGCAAATCCCCACATAAACATGTTTGCAAGTCAAAGACTGGAAATCCAATCAGTTCCAGCGATTTTCACGGCAAAGATTCATGCCTTATTCATCCGAGACTTGTTCTATTCGAGTACCCGGTGAACCTGCTGCAGATTGTCAGCGGGACGGCCCTTCGCTCATCAAACATACCTGATCCTGGCTCGTCAGGGTTAGAATCATACCCTGGAGGAAGTGCGCAGCCCATCGGTTCGCTGGCAGCCTTTGCAGTGGTGGTCGGTTCGGTCCCCTTTAGTTCCTCATAGGCTTTCTGAAGTTTATCAGCGCGTTTGGATGCCAACGACATCAAATTTCTGTATCTGAGTGCGCATACGTCAGAACTAACGACTCGTCGGATAAGCGATAGCTTACAGAGCTGGATATGCGTCCAGAATATCACAAAGTTCCTCTGACTTTAGGCGTAATAATGTACAGGGTGTCGCGGTTACGATTTGTGCTGTTCTCTCGATCGACAGCATCAGGGCGACTTCTCCGAAGAAGTCTCCAGGGTGCATTCCAGAAACCTGAAAGATAGGATCAGAGAAAGAACTTTCAATTTGAAATAAAATTGACAACCTTGAGATTGTTTATGAGAACATGACATTCTCCAGCTTCCAATATGTAGATGCTGTTGCCTTCAACCCCGGGTCCTACCAACTTCTCACCTTCACGTACTTGAACCTGAAAAGAGGTGGACATCCATCAGTTTTGTTTGCCTGGGACTTTCATGCTCTTTACCCTTCTCATTTTTCCCACAATGTCTCTCCAGGCTTTGTCGGTGAGCTTTGGTTGTTCGACATCTTCTTCTTCATCAGATACCCCAGGCTCAAACAGGAACTTCAATCTCTGTACGATTTGAGGATCTACTGCGTCCCCATCACCAAATTGCAAACCCTGCTCTGACTGGCCCTTACTACCACTTCTTTGATTGCTGGGTGAGTCTCGTTGGCCTGAATCACGCGATGATGTTACAGTAACTTCACCGTCCCCATCTTCTATAACCCTGAAACGCGATGAACAAGCCCGTTTAATTCTAGCCCTTCCTTGGTCTTTCAAGCGTTTCAATAAGTGAGGATACTTTGACACAACATCTTTGAGATCGCGCCGGGTAAATTCAAATAGTTCCACAAGACCTTCAGCCTCTACATCCGCGGTTCGTTGAGAAGCCATTGTCAAAGCAACCTCTCCGAAGAAGTCACCATATCCCAGCTTTGCCACTTGCGAACCTTGTACTGAAACGTTGCATTTGCCGTTATTTATGAAGTACATTCCCATCCCGATAGTTCCTGATCTTATTACACATGTACTAGATTGAAAAAGAAGTGGCTTCAAGCGACTTGCTACTTCACACAGCAGGTCGCCGCTATCAATCCCTCCTCTGAACAACGTCATTTTCCTCACCAGTTCGAATTCGTTAGGCATTAGAGAAGTACGGTGCACACCAAGTTTTCCCGTCTGGTTCTGTACTTTCCTAATTGCTGTAAGAACATTCAGTCCCACTGAACCCTTCTTGTTCTTCCCCCGATTATCAAATGAGTCCTGTGTCTCTCCAATGCGATCAAGTAATTCCTGACAAGCCCTGTAATCTGCTCTGCGAACAAAGAAAGTCATCAGTCCTGTCAGCTTGATCTCTTTGGCAAGATCTTGTGATCGATCACTGTCTGGCATTGGGCCACTTGTATGTGCTATAGCAGCAAACTTGTCCTCATCCGATTTCTTTTCTGGCTTCGGTCCAGGATGGACCTGATATGCTGCATCCTTTTCTTCGGCGGCCTCTTCAACATTTGCATTCCTTGACCTTTCAATTTCGGCTAACTCTTCATCCGCTGACTCCTTCACATCATTCAGAATGTCACTTAAAATCGTTGCTTGTCTGCGTATGAAAGAAAGTGCTTTGCGAGTGGTTGAGGCTGTTTCAATTACCCAATGAGACAAAATTTCTGCCGTATACTCAGGGTCCGACGCCACCGGAGGAAGAAATACTTGTTTCACGGAGGGTCTGGGCATTCGCGCAGAAAAGATTGGTGACACCACCTTGTTTAAACTCGCGAGGACCTTTAAAACATTGCTCGCAAATTCATACAATGCTTCCGAGTCCATAGTATCAATTGCGTTATCATTTTCTTCCACACAATCAAGAAATTTGGTCAAAACCCTGTTTGTCTCCCAATGTACTTCTTTAATAGCACTTTCCTTCGACTGAATGTATTGACCTCGCATTCTCATCCAGTCGTCGCCTCCTTTTTCTGCTGGCACGGCATTTGCTAAAGTACTTCCAACCATCACCGTTATTCTACAATTGTGTAAGAAGGAGCACGGTTTTATCTCCCAGCCGTCCAGGTCGTTTTCGTTCTTCAAAACGCTGGGGTTTAATAAGAGGCCTCCTGTATTAGACGATGGCGGCAAGTAGTCATCGTCTATGGGAGAGGTAAGTGCGAGTGCATTACTTTCTGCTGGGGGCTGTCTCCGAAACAATGAAAGTGAATTGGAGTCCAATTTCATGGACGTTTCCACAATTTCAATGCTTTTTCTGGACATCTTGATCACGCTCAGAAATAAGAAACAACAAACCTAAGGCCTTGAGATGGAAAAATCGTTTACGCCCTTGCAGGCTGATCTAGTGGATGTGGGACAAGCCCAAGAAGATAAGATTTTGTTCACTTTCAATCTGAAAACGCAAAGTGAGAACTTGACAAAGCAAACACACCAGAAAACATTGTAGTCAGCAGCCTATGAGCACCGAAACGAACCATGAAGTCGCAGAATGAAGTTGCAGTGACTCTAGCTAAAGCACTACCAGCACAATGGAACTCTTGTCTCGCAAGAACTCGATCACAAACTGGTGGCCAAGAAAAGCAGCATGTACTAACAAGCACCCTAGATGGGCCAAGGGAAGCAAGAGAGAAAGGAAAGGAGACGAGAGGAATGCGAGACTGTTGGAAGAAATACCGAAGAAGATTGTTAACAGAGGTTTTTGTTTTTGGGGGGTTGGAGGGCGGGAGGAGGAGGAGGAGAGCGAAAGGACGGTGAGTGCATGATAAGGCAGCAGCGGCAGAGGAGGAGAGGCGCGCGATGGCGACAGGCAGCTGCAGCAGGGAGAATGTGGGGGTGGGGGTACCTTCGAGTATGATTACTACCCCTCTTTTGTAGAAAACAATTTAGGGTAGTTGATACAACGATAGAAGTAGGGGTAGTACCCGGCCTCTCGTGGGGGTTAGAGGGTATGGCCAAGCGAGTTGATTGCCGGGGGGTAGTGAACAAGGATCGACACCGGTGGTTGATGATGACGGGGTTGTATGAGTCAAAAGTTGAGTGGGAAAGGGGGTAGGGTGGGAATTCGATGGGGGAAATAGAATGCGGGGTCATCAGTTCCAACTCTGATTGCAGACCAAATGGTACTTATTATTCGAGAAGGGTGGGGTAGTACAGTACCGGTGTATTGTCCAGCAAAGACAACATGAACGTCGGGGTCCGGGTAGGGTGCAGGAACAGTTTTACCCACTTGTGACCCCTCAACGGAGGGGGTCATGAGCCTGATTCTTCGATCGTTAGGGGTGGTCTGGGGGTGTGAAGCTGAATGAAGGGGGTGGTCATGGGTGAGGATGACCGAAGGGGGGTAGGACCCGTCCTTTTAAATCATGTTTCAGGCATTGGTGGGTGGGGGGGTGGGGTACTTACTTGAGAAAATTTGTGAGATGAGGTCGGCCGGGTGGAGCCAACCATAGTACCCCTAATTCTTGGAGGAAGAAGGAGGTAGGGGTTCTAAATATATCATTTTAGACCTATATAACTAATGTAAAGGGTTGAATCTAAAAATGCATGTAGTTGCATATCTCTCTGGTACAAGAAGTCTTAGCCTAAAATACTAAAATACTAACTATAGAAATATTTCTCCAAAAAGATAGTTTTGGAGTATTAAAAGAAGTTCTATATCCTAAAAATAGGTGTGTTGAATGTTCCTGTTGTAAAATAACTTTTTCCTGAAGTAATTTTGAAATATACATGCAACAGTTCAAATTTGCAGTTGCTTACACGGCAGGGCCTGGGCTTACAGGCAAGATCAGCCCCGGGCCATTGTCCTGCCACTAGTGCTGACGGTCAGGCCCGCCGGACTCAGAGGAGGTGCTTCCACGCCAGTTCAAAAGTTCAAAAGGAAGCGGAGCAAGCAGTGGAGCAAGCAGCGGAAGGAAGCGGCACGAGCAGCAGAGCAGATATGAACGAGATTGGATCAGAGCAGCAAATGCGAGAAAGCATCAACAAGATGCTGCAGCAAGTGAAAGACGGCGTGACTCCCTGGCAAGCAGCTCAGGAAGTTCGTGTACGGCAGCCTCGAAACCATGCTCGCCCAGACACGAGTACGAGGGTGAGATCGCAGATCAACTCAGTCAGGCCACGGGGAGAAGAATGTTGGTTTACACCAAAGGAAGGCCATCCAAATAATAGATCTGAGCTGAGTCATTGGCAAAATGCCAATTTGAACGATACCAAGGAAGCAGACGGTCAAGACCAAATTATTGAATTCATCCATGCACGGCTCACGAGGTTGCTTAATAATCTGGTTGACCATCTCATCACATGATTGTTCATGTTGCAGGCTGGGCTGGACCATCCAAACAGATTGTACCGGGAAGGATGGAGTCTTTGACTTGCTTGCCAAAGTGTTTGACGACGTCGAGGACCTGCAGTCCAACTGGGTGATGTTAGATTGCACAACATGACTCGTGGTATGATTCATTCTCATGCCCCTGCCTTTGTTAGATGGAGCTTTCAAGAAACTTGAAACCAGAGCAGCTTTCACGGATAAGGAAGAACACTCTCACAGTGCGTGTTTCAACAGACATCTTGCAACAAGATGTCACGACCTCGCGGTTGGGATGTAGTGATGGTGTTTCGAAGCGTCAAGCATGTGCTGACAGTAGTGAGGCTCTCAGGGACCTCACAAATTCTTCTCTCCGCAGATCGAATCTGCGCAGCCTGAACGAAACCTCCAGGTGCCTCTACACCACCAGCAACCGTTCGTGCACTGAGAGAACAGGTGGAAGCTTGCAGGAGGAGATGAGCAAAGTGCTGTGTGAGCTGGATGAGGCCATCAAGAGCTGCTCTGCCAACCACAGTAGCTTGGTCGATGCTGAAGAGATCCATCATGTCAAGCCTGTCCCAGTTTCTGAATCAGAAGCTAGTGATGATGACTTGAATGACAGTCTGGAGGTATCACGAGAAGAGATGAGATGTGCGAAATGTCTTACAAGGCGATTGTTGAGGTCTATTCGAGGCAAGATTATGTTGTGCAAGGACAAGATGAGACAATCTCATTATCTTCGCGCGCAAAACAATTTCAACATATGAAAGTCTCGGATTTGTTAGCGAGGTGAGCTCACCGTCAGCATGTATCATGGATAACATGGATAACATGACTTTGAGCAGGAGCAACAAGATTTTGATGCAAGAAATGAAAGAATTTTCACTGTTCTGATAAACAAAACTAAGTAAATTATGGCGGCATTATGCCATGATGCCGCACCGCCGCTTCCAAGTTCGGCCGCGGCTGTGCACGGTCACGACTCCGGGGCCAGCGGCCGGGACCGGGGCAGGCTGGAACGGACCGTACTCGGCGACGGTCACGCCGGGCGCCGCTGACTCGGTGGGCCCCGCCGGGGCGGCGGCGGCACACCGGACGGTTGCCAAAGGCGCACTGCGGCAGTGAAGTTACCGTGCCCGTACAGCACCGTACTCTGATGACGGGAGTCGGAAGGGGTGTGGGTGTGCGGCAAGCAAACTGAGCCACCGGTGCCTCATTCGAGAGCCGCACTGCAGCCGGCCTAGACCCGTCACAGGGCCTGCTGGACTCCCTGGCCGGAGGCGGGCTGACTGCCGCGGTGGCCGGGAATCTTTATAGCTCTATATATCTACTTTTAGGTCCCATATATAGCTCTATATATCTACTTTTAGGTCCCATATATAGCTCTATATATCTACTTTTAGGTCCCATATATAGCTCTATATATCTACTTTTAGGTCCCATATATAGCTCTATATATCTACTTTTAGATACCATAAAAGCTCTCCCCTACACCGGTCTAGCTCCGACGCTCGAATGCCATTACAGGCTTCCTCTTCCCCTCCCCCTCTACGTTTCTCGTTGCCTATCTGCAGCTACTGATCCTGCCCTCGTGCTCGCTAGCCAATGCGGCATACTGCCCTGATCTTCGTTTTACATTCATTCCTTCTCGTATTGTTTTCCCTCCATTTTCCAATCTTGTATTCCTACGTGCTGTAGCTTTTGCTTCAAAAATTCTTCTAACATCATCCTTGAGTAGCTGGATTCAAGATGGAATGCTCAGTCTTCATCCGGCTTTTCGTGATGTTAATCTTCAATGCTTCCTGTGTATTTTCTTTCAATCACTGTCAACTCTGTAACCCAACCGGTAACGCCGATGCCATTGTTTCTAAACTCAAGCGTGACTTAGGTGTGAGCACAGCTCATGTAAAGCTCCTGAGGTTGGTGAGTTTGTGAGCAAGTGATGCATGTAAAGCTTCCTTGCAGTAGGCGCGTTTGCCCGGCTTCGTTTCCAAGGACCGTCAAGATGGTGGAGATCTGGCAGGGTGGCGAGGGTCTGAGAGAGCATGCAGATGTCTTCCTTGCTCCCCACCACCATCTTGGACGACAACTGGAGCATAGGTCACCCGCGTGCTGCGAGGATGCGGATGAAAGGTGACGAGACTGGAGACAGGGGTACAAGAGAAGCACACCATCCTTGCTCCCGATCGCCACAAGTCCAGCAAGTGGGCCCTCAACTTCGTCACCATCTTCAGCTCGACCACCCTCTCTCGCATCAAGTCTCATCTCTTCGCTAACCTCCTCCTCGCCGTCTCTGTCTTCTTCGCTTACTCCTCCAACTCCTTCAACTTCGTTCTGCTCACCCAGGGCATGAGCACGTCCGTACACGCGCTCCTGGGAGGCGCGCTCAGTCTCCTCCTCGTCTTCCGCACCAACTCAGCCTACGACAGGTTCTGGGAGGCGAGGAAGATCTGGAGCGAGATGATCTCTGCCGTGCGCGAGCTGAGCTGCATAGCTCACAGCTCGATGAGGGGGTGGGACCGGGAGCACCTCCTCCAGCTGCTCGCCGCCTACCCTGTCATTCTTCTTCATCACCTGAGGTCGGGACGGGCGCAGGGTAGCAAGAGCCAGAAGGAGGCGCTCAAGGAGATCCTGTCCGAGCAAGACGTGGAGCTCATCTGGACGTCTCGACATCGCCCGCTTGCTGTGTGCAAGATGCTCTCAGCCATTGTCAAATGCGTCTTCTCCGACCCCGACAAGATCCGGCAAGCCAACAAGCGAGTGGACGAGGCGACTGGAAGGGAGATGGAGATGGATGCCTTGCAGATCGCCGTCGCAGTGGCAGACGTGAAACAGAGCAGGGGGCACGCAGAGAACATGGTGAGCCGCCTGATCGCAACGATAGCAAACGCCGAGAGGATAGTCAAGACTGCCGTACCTCTCTCCTACTCCCGTCACACCTCTCGCTTCCTCAGCGTCTGGTGCTTCACTCTTCCCCTCGTCCTCGTTCACAGCATGAAAATCTTGATGATCCCCGCGGTGGCGATTATCTGCTGGGCTCTCTTTGCCATCGAGGAGGTCGGAAACATCATTGAAGATCCGTTCAACATGCCCTTCCTCCTCTCCTCCGGGCCCCCCTACACCGACGAGCTCGAGCTCGAGCGATCTTTCGTTAACATCCGCAAGGACATCATGGACAGGACGCCTGCGACTGAGCCGCTGGAGCTCTGGAGGGAACTAGAGGAGGAGGCGACGAGGAGGCAGAGCATGTGTCCTACTCCGAGAGACGGCAGGCTACGAGACAGCATCCTTCTTCTCGACTACGACGTGAGCGCATTTCATCTCAAGTCTCGCCCTGACGTTCGAGCAAGCTTCGTGAGCGACAGCTCGCAGCTGATTGCGTCGGAGAAACTCTTAAAGTTTCCCGAAGATTCATCGTAAAGGAGCATGACGCTCTCATGCCTGCTTGTTGCCTCCACCCTCTCCCTCAGACTCCCTCGTCCTCCAGCATCATCTTCTCTGTCGTCGCCTTGCTGACCTTGGCCTGCTCCTAATCAGCTGCCGCGGTTCCTGCTCGGCTGCCATCGCTCGGCCACCTCAATGCTCCGCTTCCCTCTGACTTGTATCTCAGCAGCTTCTAGTTCACACCGCTTGCGCCTCAGAGCGTGCAGTGGACTTGAGAACTCGTCGAACCCATACCCCTAAGCTCTCACATTCCTTAAGTCTTCAAATAATCTCTCAGCCCCTCCCCCTCCCCCTCCCCTCCTACATGTAAAAGCCCTCCCTGGGCGTCAACTGCTTGACCCGTCAACGCCGGACTGCAAACCTAGAGAGGAGAGGAGAGGAGAGGAGAGGAGAGGAGAGGAGAGGAGAGGAGAGGAGAGGAGAGGAGAGGAGGGCATGGGAGGGCGGGATTGCAGGTCATAGCACTGCTCTGGATGTACCGTGGGGATGAGGAGATATGTTAGTGTTGATGATCACATGAGAGGGAAGCTGCAAGGGAAGGAAAGGGTTGGAAACAGCATTTGACGCAGCAACGGAGCTTCGCATGTCGGGACAGGTTGAGCTTGAGCCTCTCGCCTCCGAGTTGGGCAGCAACGCAGTGGACGAGGTGAGAGGGCTGGAGAGAGCATCGATTCGCTTCCACGAGGACGGGAAGAATCTGGCGAGAGCCAAGACCGACAGCAACCTGCAGGCGAGGCTGATGGTCCGCCAAGCCAACCATCTCTTCGGGGAGACCGTCGCCTCCATGAAGATGCTGCAGGACCTCCGAGCTTCTCTGCGCTCTTTCGACCTCCCCAGCCCTCCCAAGAGACGTCTCCTCCTCCAGCCCTTCCCTCCCGTTCCTGACTTCAGTCCCCAGCTGCTGCCATCAAAGCCATCAACAGCCGACGAGCGCACTTGCCCGTCAGCGGGGGGCGAGCGGGGGGAGAACAAGAGCAAGACGCGCGCAAGTGCTCATGCTGCTCCGCTGCCTTCCGCTTTTAACTGTGGTACAGAGCTGCGGGCGATCGTCAGTTCGCCTTGCAGACAAAGACATGGTGAGCCCAGCTCTCTCTCCTCTTGCCTGAGAAGTTTGGTGGTGACGAGGAAGGAGAGGAGGTGGTGGCGGTCAGGGGGGGGATGCAGGGGCAGTAGCAGGGTATTGAGAATGTTTGCAGCATCTTCTCGTCCAAAGAAACGTCAAAGAGCGAGAAGCGGTTGAGAATCTCAAGACCCGCCACGTCGCTCGGCTACTCGTCGCTTCCCAATCGCTTGGAGGAGCAACAGGACAGACCCAGGCCAGCATCTGCCATGGAGTCAGAGGAGCGATCCGAGCCTGACCAGCTGCTGAACGTGATGGGATACCTCCCTCCATCCAACGACCGACAAGTGAGAGAAGAGGTGAAGACTTTGTCCTCCTCCTCCCGCGCGCGCTGTCTGAATGAGTTTCAGGATAAGGATGAAAGGATGCAGGAAATGAGGGGGAGGAGGAGCAGAGAAGATCCAAGAAAGACATTCTCTCCCTCACTCTCTTCGATCAGCTTTCCAGCATTTCCTCGCGGATCAATCCTCAAGCACATGGCCATGTCTTCGTCATGGGTCGAAGGTGACCAACGACCTGCTACTAGTCACTGCTCATGTTTCTTTATCTTCTCTCTCCCTCTCCCTCCATCCCTTCTCACTCCCCCTCTCTCTCTTCGCCCTTTACACGTCTTCTCCAGCATCTCGTCTCAAGATCACTCCTGGCTCGATCGTACGGCACAAGCCCCAGCAAGAGACAAGCACATCTCCTCCCACTCTCATCAACTCTCTGCATACCACGGTATGACAAGACTGCAAGGCGGGGGAAGCGGAGGAAGGATGCACTGAGCTTTTCTTGTCGGTTTCTTAGAGTGTCGCGTCGAGGCGGGTCAATTTCAACGAGTATCTCCGCGTGGCTTCAGGTGCGCGTGCTCTCCTCGTGCTGTCCCTGATGCTGCAGCAGCTGGCGACAGTTCCATGCGGAGGGAGGCAGCGAGAGGGAGGCAGCCAACTGCCAAAGGCAGCGGAGGCAACGAATCTCGTCGAGTCAAGACGGGAATGCTGGACTTCGCGAGGAGGAAGCAGCTTGACTGGTCCTGGAGCTCGACGGGGCCTCGTCCTGACCTCTCGATGGATTTTCACGTCCAGTCGCCCAACTCAAGCGACGAGCTGAGGCTGGAGGAACATCACGCGATCCTCCGACACTACACCCACACGTGATGGCGATCCTCAGCTCTCCTCAAAGCATCAGGCGATTGAGTGGCAAGAAAAGAATCCGAAAGTCTTCTCTGACCTAAGCAAACGAAATCCCCATGACACTCATATCTACTTATCCTCCTGCTCCCCCTACTCCAACTCTAGAGCTCGGTCTTGGTCTCTTCTTCCTCGCCCTTGCTCTCTTCCCCCTTCTCTCCCTCCGTCTCCTCCGTCGCGTTCACTTTTGTCTCGTTCTGCACCTTCAGGTCAGCACCGGCAGCCTCCCCGCGTCCCCTCACCTCCTTCTTCTCGGCCTTGGGCTTCTTGGGAGGGAGAGGCTTCTGCACGCGAGCCAGACGCTTGAGCGCTTCCTCGATGGCAGGGAACCTGAGGTGGAGGATCACGAGGGTCACCTGAGGAAAGTGAAGCTGTAAAGAGTCACCTCGCAAAGACCTCGTCCGAGGTGAAGACTGGGTCCTCGTGAGCCGGCTGCTTCTCTTGCTCCTCCATCTTGGTCTTCATCCACTCCTTCAACGCTTCCGTCTTGTTCGTCACCATCTACTCGACTGTCAGCCTGTACAAAAATCTCCTCTCCTTCCCTCTTGCTGGTTCTCGCTCCGCCCTCAACCTATCCTCCTCCTCCTCCCATCTTGACCTGTGTATGCGACTCGTTGAGCCAAGACATCTTCTTTGTGAGATTCTTGACGCTCTCCTCAATCGCCACGAGCATCTGCAAGGGACATAGAGATGAGAAACAAGAGAAGCGGAGCACAGAGAGAAGAGAGGAAGCAGCAGGAAGCGGAGAACCAGGTAGAAGGAATCGAGAAGAGTAGGATGAGCAAAGGGGTATGGAGAGTAGGAGACAAGGGGAGTAAGGGGGAGGGACCTTGTTGGCCTTCTCGATTGCCACAGGTCTCTCAATCGCCTGCTTCATGCGGAAGAAAACTGGATCGCCAACCTGAGAGACACGATGAGCAAAAAGTGACGGGGAAGGGAACAAGAGAAGCCGAGGAGAGGCCAGAAGAGAGCATGGGGACATGGGGAGGAGCAGGACCTGTGTGAGCTCAGCAAGCTTGGAGCGGAGGAGGAGGGTGTCGGCCTCCCAGCCGTCCTCGTCCAGCCACGAGCTCATCTTGTCGAGCTGTGCTGTGAAGTCCTTGCGGAAGGTCTCGGTGGTGACCTCACGCATCTCGACGTTGCTCTCGAGCTTCTCCTTGGTGGTGTAGATGTAGGACTCCAAGGCGTTGAACGCGCTCGCTCGCTCTCTGATTTTCCTCTCCCTCTCGTCGTAGTCCTCCAGCACTTTCTTCGTCTCCTTCACTTGGGTGCTCGTGAAGGGGCGAGGCACCGGCGTCTCTGCCGCCACAACCAGCGCCACTCGCCGCACTCTCTTCTCTTCCTTGACAGTACAGACTCTCTTCTCTGCCTCCTCCTCCGTCTGATTGCCCGTTGCCGTCTGGTTGTTCTCCCCCGCCTCCTTCGCTTCTCCTGCCGTCTCGTTCGCCTGCGTCTCGTTCTTGGCCGGAGGCTTGACGGTCTCGCACGTCTCTACCTCCACCATCTCCTCGATAGCAACCTCCGCCTGTCCCTCCCGTCACTTCCGCTCCTCCCCCTCTCTTCCTCCTGTTCCTCCCTCACCTTGTCAACCTCCACCAGCCCCGAGCGAGTCAACCGGAATGAGACGTTAATCTTCGGCTTGCCGGTAGCGTTGGGGAACTTTTCCATCGCTACAAGGGATAAGAATAAGAACCAACCCGAGCACGTCAAGACAGAGGGAGACACAAGAAGCCTCGCTCACCTTTCTTGACGCCCGTGATGTTGTAACGAGCGATCACCTGGCACAAGTGAGACACCAACCTTGCCAGTTCAAGAGACAGAGAATCAAGGGAATTGAGGAAGTCAAAACGGGAGGAGGAGGAGGAGGAGGAGAAAAGAAGAGGAGAGGAGAGTGCATGGTGCATGGGGGCGGAGGGGAGAGGAGGAGGAGCACAAGCAGCAGCAGTGGCAGCTACAGGATAGTACCACAGGGGTGTGAGCAGGAACTTCGTCGTCGTACTTGAGGGTGAAAGTGAGATCCTCGTCCCTCTGTGAAGCCATCAGCTTTAGCTCTATCTCATCATCATCATCATCATCATCATCATCATCATCATCATCATCATCATCATCATCATCATCATCATCATCATCATCATCGGCATCATTACGATCATCATTATCATCATCACCTTGAAGGTCAGTAGACGCTTGGATGGGATCCGATGGCCAGCCTGCAAACCCGTCAGAACTTGCAAAGGCGGCAGACATGCAGGTGAGGGAAACGAAGAGGAGCAGGGAGAGGAGTAGGGCAACAAGAGTCTAACCTTGAACAGCTTCACGTTCTTCTTGCCAGGTGAGCTTTCGGATCCTTCCGCCTTCTCCTGCAATCTCTCAGCTCATCTCCAGCTCATCTCCAGCTCGCACCTCCTCGCCTTCGGTCTCAGCGACTTCGTCAACTCCACCGCTAAGCGAGTCGATGTCGATGCTCACGGGGAAACTGCCAGACATCAGGCAACACCCACACCCATCGCAAGCCTCTGCTACACCTCCACACCCATCGCAAGCCTCTGCTACACCTCCACACCCATCGCAAGCCTCTGCTACACCTCCACACCCATCGCAAGCCTCTGCTACACCTCCACACCCTCCTCCTCCTACCTGGTGATGTCGTGAACTCCAAACTTCCTGAGACGGAACGCAGTGGACAAGGAGGCAGCGTAAAGAGCAGCGCCGAAGCAGAACGCCTGAACTCCTTCAGCTCGGCTGACACACAAGCATTTTCCTTCTCCTTCTCCCCCCCCCCCCAGCGAGGCCTTCCTCTGTCCTGTCCTGTTCGATCTGCCCCTGCTCCTGCCTCTTCTTCTGGTGCCCAATCCTCATTGCCCTTACCTCGTCTGCGTTGAGAGTCTTGTCCAGCTGAGGCTTGCCAGTTGAGGAAAGAATTTTATCCTGCACCATCGGGATGCGCCATCCTCCTCCAATGACTCCAACCTGCCTCTTGTCAGTCCCCCTGCCAGTCCTCTCTCCTCTCCCCCTCTCCCTCCTCTCTCCCTCCTCTCTCCCTCCTCTTCTCTCCGTTCTCATCCTCTCCCTCTCTTCCAGGACCGAATGGATGTCGTCCTTTGTGAAGTTCGCACGCTTCATAGCCTCAAGGATCGGACCCTCCACACGCTCCAGCAGATGCCGCGACGCGTCCTCGAAGTCTGCGAGCTCACATGAGTGGGAGAGAGGGCAGAGGAGCAGTAGACCAGCGCGCATGATGGAGGCACGGAAGTCATAGTCGTCGATGAAGCTCTCGATCGTCGGGTGAGCGTCTTTGTTTGCCGACAGAATGACCTGCGAAGCTTCATGAGCACAAGGAAGAGGAAGGAGACAAGGACATCACCTTGGTCTTTTCTGCTGCTTGGATCAACTTGGCCATCGCGCGGCTGTTCTTTGAGGGGTCAATCTTGCTCTTGCCCTTGAGAATCTCAGCGACTCTAACCAAATGCAGTGAGAGATAGAAAGACGAGGGCAAGAAACTTCAAGAGGAGCAGGAGCAGGAGCAGGAGGGGACCCGCAGGAGCAGGAGCAGGAGCAGGAGCAGGAGAAGAAAAACGATGAAAATGATTACTTGCTGGTGAAAGCGTAGCCTCCAAGGGACTCGTCCCAGGCGGTCGAAAGCACCTAGGCAGCAAATGAGGAAGATAGAGAAGAGGGCAGGAGGAAACAGGAGGACGAGGATGTTAAGTCCACCTTGAGCTGCCCAAGCGTCTTGTTCTTCTGGAAGGCTTCCTTGTCCGGTATCGCACTGAACTGCAGCGACAGGAGTGAGAAGAGCAAAAGCAAGGCTTCACCGGGAGGCTCCTCAGCGTTTTCACCTGCACGACAGAAACGCGGGTAGCAGTTGATCCCATGTCATAGAAGACGACATTCTGCCACCTCGTCAGGTCTCCCATGCTGCCCTTCCCCTCCGCTCTTCTCGCTCTCGCTCACTCGTGGCTCCGTGAGAGATGCGACGTTATGGTCGATGCCATATTTGAGTGCCACCGCTGTATGGTCGTTCATCAGCGCAAGCACATTGAGGCCTGGCAGCAAGGTCATCGCTCCTTCTTGATTCTTCATCCAAGTATCTTTCTCCTCGTCTCACCAGCGATCGCTGCAGCATCCAGGACGGCCTGTCGCTCGAACTGCCGGTAGAAACCTGGCACTGTGATCACGCAGTCTGCGACTTTCTCGCCAGTGTGCGCTTGGCCGAGCGACTTGGCGTAGGTGAGAACCATGGCAACAAGAGCTTCAGGCGACAGATGTCGATCTCCCTCCTTCACTCTGATCGCCGAGCGTTCCACATCCTCTTCTATCTCATATGGAAAGTAGTGCGGGCCGTATGCATCCAGCGCTTCCTTGCTATACTTCTTTCCAAGCAGCTCGCGGGTGTGGGTAAAGGCGAGGTGAGGCTTGACCATGGCAGTGTCACCAAACTCCCTCTGCTCTGCTCCGAAAGAGAGAGCATTGGGGCTCTTGCGCTTGGAAGCCTCGTTCAGGACGATCTGAACTCCCGCGCTGCGCTGTACCACTGCAAGCTTGATCCATTCAGACCCAAAGTCAATGCCGAGCACGTTCTGAGCCAGCGACACGTCGCTGCCAAGAAGGACAAGACAAGCGAGGAGCTGAAAGGCAACCTGAGCACACCAGAGTTCAGCTTCCAGGAGCAGAGTCAATTCACCTCACCTTCATCCTGGACCTCAGCATCTCACCACTCCTAAAGATAATGTCAGGACAATGACAATCGAAAAACATTTCAGCACTCGCACGTGGAAAACAAGAATCCAATACAGCTGTCTTCCTGTAATGTACCCGTTACAAATGCAAATCAAATTCAGTTACGAGAATCATCATGAATTTAGCATTCGAAAAATCGGATTTGATCGCCCTTCTCTCTCACTTGTTGACTGTGTCTCAGAGCCGCATTCTCAACCACAAGTTTGAAACTCAGATGGGAGCAGGGAGTTATTGCCAGAAGGGCTATAGACAATTTGCTTTCCTCGCCTCCTCACCTCCTTCGCCATCCCCTTAACCTCACTCACTCTCACCACACCAACTCGGTGCCCCGCCCTCTCCTCCT